TCCGTCTCAAAAATAAAATAAGGGCTTTAAAAATAAGAAATATTATTTACCTACATATTTGTGGTTTCTTAAGCTCTTAATTCCTTTGCATAGATTCAGAATTCCATCTGATAGCATTTTTTTTTTTGCCTGAAAGACTTTCTTTAACATTGCTTATAGAACAAGCCTGCTGGTGGTTAATTCTTTCAGCAATTCTTTGTCAAAATATGTTTTAATTTTGTCTTGTTTTGATATATATATATATATATATACATATATAATATATATAAAATGTACATATTATATATTAATATAAAAGAATTCTCGATTGACAGGTTTTTCATTCAGTACTTAGAATGCTGCTCCACCAGCTTCTGGTTTGCATTTTTCTGGTGAGAAACATTCTGTCATTCTTATCTTTGTTCCTCTGTACAGTAATGTCTTTTTTCTCTCTCTCTAATAGCTTTTAACATTTTCTCTTTATCAATGGTTTTACACATTTTGAACATGATGTTTCTTGGTATAGTTTTCCTCATGTTTCTACTGAGTTTGTTGAGCTTTTTAGGTTTATGAGTTTATAGTTTTGGTCGAATTTGGAAAGTTTTCATCAATTATTTCTTCAAATACTTTTTTCTGTCCTCCCTAATCTATTCTCACCTCATATTTCTCATTTTCTTCAGGGACTCCAATTGCATGTATACTAGGCACACTGATACTCTGTTTATTTTTATTTTTAGTCTTTTTCTTCTCTCAGTGTTTCATTTTGGATAGTTTTTATCACAATGCTTTCAGGTTTTTACTGTTTCTTTTTCAGTAATGTCTATCCTATCAATTGTGTGTGTGTGTGTGTGTGTGTGTGTGTGTTAAAAATCTCAGTGATTTTATTATCTCCTATGTGTTTGGTTTGTGCCTTTTTTAAAGAAAAAAGATTTTTCACATCTCTACTTCCCATGCTCACTCTATTTTTTCTATTTTTGAACACATCGAATACAATCATAATTACTTTCTTAATGTCCTTGTTCTCTTATTGTATCATCTCTGCCATTTCTGAGATGCTTTCAATTGGTTGATTTTTTTTCTTATTACTTTCCTGTTTCTTTTTGAATGCTTGATAATTCTGATTGGATTCCAGACATTGCAAATTTTACCTTGTTAGGTGTGGGTTATTTTTAATTTCCTATAAATATTTTTGTGTTTTACTCTGAGACACTTTGTTTTTAAAAACAGTTTAATCCTTTGGGTGCTGACTTTTAAGATTTCTTAGAATCAGAGTAGCATTTACATTAGGGCTAATTTTGCCCCATTACTCAAACAAAACCATTTGAGTTGTGAATTATGGGGTTTTCCAGTCTGGGTGCCAGGATCGGGTACTATTTCTGGTTCTGTGTGATCACTGGGTATCTTTCTACTTTGCCTTTTGGGAGCAGGATTAATTTCCTACCCTGTGTAAGATTTAGTTATTGCTCTCTCTTTTCTTCATACATGATTATTTCCTGGCCTTAGGTAAGCTTGCTCACACACATTCTCTAATCAGCAGAAGTGGGCTCTGTTGTAGATTTCCACCGCTCCTTTTTTCTCTGTATAGCTTTCTCCTCTCTGACATGGGACTCCCAATTCTAGCTGTTTTGGCCTCCCTGCTCTCCCAGTTTTGTCTCCTCAACGCAGGGAGTCTGCCTAGCTCTTCCTGGATTCCCCTCTTTGTACTGCAGCCTGGGCTGCTCCCTCTAGTCAGTAAATCAAGACATTCATAGGGCTCACCTCATTTGTTTTCTCTCCTCGGGGACCACTGTCCAGCACAATGTTTAAAAGTCATTGTCCTATATATACATCTGTTTGTTTTTGTTTTTAGTTGTTTTAGGCAGGAGAGCAAATTCAGTCCTGTTGCTCCATCGTAGCTGGCTAGACTGGATTGCTATAAATTACTGTGGCTCTCTTCACAGAACAGATTGTCAAGGATGTCACTTGTTTCCAAAACAATTCTTATTAAGTAACATGAAACATCTGAAAATTGCAATGTACGTCTCCTCCATAGTAACACTTTGCAACAGGCATTGCAAAATGAATTTTGTGTAAGGTGATCCATTTTTCCCTTTGGCTTACATTTTAAAATTCCTGTGGCATTTTCTCTAGTGCAATTGTTCTTAGTAGAACAATTTCTCTTTAGTAGTGACTTCAAACCATAAGACTTTTCCCTGTTTTCTCCCTTCTTTTTTTTCCTTGTCAGGGGCCAATAAACTGTACACAAAATTTCATAATGTTATGGGATTAAAATTCATCTTCCTGACTAGTCAGCATAAAGTGCTTGAGTATTTAGGTGTGTGCTTATGCTAAGATTATGTGTGTGGGTTGAGTAAAGACAAGGTCTTTGACCTCAAGAAGCTCAAAATCTGTTTTTAAAAAAATGAGTATCTACTCCCATTGTTTCGGATTGTTTCAAAAGAGGAGAACATTTGCATTTTGGGGCGGATTTATATATAGAAGAACAAGAAAGTTCAAGAGAAGACTTTTTTTTTTATTGTTCCTTAGCCACAACAAGTATTTATTGAGTGCTTAGTATAAAAACAAGAGACTTTGGTATCAACTAAGAGACTGAGGCAAGTCACTGACATAATGTGTTTGTAATCTTTTAGAAGACAGAAATTGAGAAAGATCCAAGGTGTGGTATCATAGTACATGTTTGAGATATCATGGGTGTGGTTATTGAGGGCTGGAGAGATTAGGGAAGGCTTGAAGAACTAGTTCAGGAAGGAACTGTAGAATTTCAGGGAGAACAGTATGAGCAGAATTAGGAGGATGAGTGCCCATGGCTTGTCTAAGTACAATCAGAGAGGAAGTGTAAGGCTTCTGTTGGAGAAGAGGGAATAGCAGAGGCCTATTTGTGGAGGTCTTATTATATTCCAGGCCTATGGGTTTTTTTTTCAGGTGGATATGCAGGAAGATTTGTATTGAATAGGGAATTAGGATTAGTGAGTGTAGGAAGGACAAGGAGTGGTGGCAGAGGCTTGAGGGAACGGCATATGCCTTAATCATCTTTGTATTCCCAGATCCTCGGTCATACTGAATGTTTGTTGCTTAAGTAGATGTAAAAGTTTATTATTTTTTGAGACAGGTCTCATTGTCACCCAGGCTGGAGTGCAGTGGCATGATCTTGGCTCATGGCCACCCCTGCCTACTGGGCTTCAGCAATCCTCCCACCTCAGCCTCCTGAGCAGCTGGGACTACAGGCATGTGCCACCATCCCCGGCTAAAAAAGGTTATCTTTTTCCTTCTAAATTGCTAATCTCTTGATAATCACTGGCCTTGTCAAAGGCATGACAAATATTGTGAAAGAACCTTTTCATGCTCAGTGTTAATTTGTTTCAAGGGCTAAGGGTAGGCCAATTTGAATTCAGATTCCTAAAAGCTATTTTTAAAAAATTGTATTTTAAATTAATTAATAGTTGCATATATTTCTGGGGTACAAAGCAATGTTGTAATTAGCTTCAGTTATTCCACAGTATAAATACAACGTGGAATAACTGAATCAAGCTAATTAACGCATCTACCTATTTCTCAGTTTTCATGGTGAGAATTTTGAAATGTACTCAGCGATTCTGAATTGTGTAATACATTATTATTTACTATATTTAACATGATGTGCAACATATAGTCCGAAGGGAAAAAAACCCTTATTTCTCCTGTCTAACGGAGCCTTTTTATCCTATAAGCCTTATACTTGCTTCATTTCATATCTCATTCTCCTCCTTAAAGGAAAAGGCACTCAGCCACTTTTGCAATCCCTGCCTCTCTCATTCGTAATAAATCCTGCAGTCTTACAGGTCTCATAAAAAGTCGGACCACACAGATAACCGGATAGTCCACGCGCACACTTCCAATAGAGCGTTGAAGAGGGACAAGCTCCCAGATAAGCTGAATTCACACAAAGCAGAATGACATCAGCACACACACTCACACACGAAAGGCCTAGGCAGTGTAACCGTCTGTCCAGGCGCTCACACACTATCTTTAGCCACACACAGGCACGCACACTCGAGTGCACACATTCTACTCTCAGATCCACGCACGCTCACCCTCTCAAGGCCAAAGGCCTGGCCCCGCCCCCGGCGCTGGCTCGCCGGCGGCCGAGCATCAATCCCGCGCGCCTGTTGCGTCATCAGGGCGCGCCATTATAGCAGACTCTGGCCGAGGCTTGCAGTGCCGGCAGCTGCAGCAACCGAAGCCGGAGCTGCTGGGGGTGCGAGCTGCGAGGGCGGGTATAGGCTGCGACAGGCTGCTCGGGCCTGGAACGCCGGGACAGGTGCGTGGAGCTGGTGCGACTCCTGCAAGTTGCTGAGGCAGTCCTGTCCCTTTTTCCCCGTCCTGCGAGCTCCGGGCTTCTCCCTGAGAAATGGGTCGGGCTCGTGCAAGGGTGGGGGTAGGATTCAGTTCTCCTGGGGTGACCAGGCAGGGGCATGGGTTCCCCTGGGGAGGAAGGAGTCCTTATGGACTCAGTCCCCTAAGCATCTGCACGCGCGGAGGCGCCGCCAGCCAGCCCGCCTGGGTCCCTGGGGGACATTGAGGCAGCAGGGGTGCTCTGAGAGCAGCCAGTGTGCTGAAAATAATTAATGATAGCGTCACCATTGATTGGACTGAGCGCTCACTGTGTGTTCCACCCTGTGGTAGATCCTTTGTTCGTATTTATTCAGTCCTCTCGGCAACCCAAGAGGTAAGAGCTATCATTATGCCCATTTTCCAGATGGGAAAAGCAAGGCATAGAAGTTAACCAGCTTATGTTAGTAAAAAAAATCACAGATGGTAAGCAGTGGAAGATTTAAGCCTCAGAGCTCGTCTTCCAGCCTCTGCCTTTTTCAGATCCTCCAGTCTGCTTCCCTCAGCGCCTTCTGGCTGGTGCCTCTGGGATATTGCTTCTTTTTTATTCCTTGACCTTGAGCGAACTGTAGGGAGGAAGTGCAAAACGTGGACTTACTGTTGGCACAAGTTGGTCTCTTTTTCCTCTCCTCTTCCCCTCTTCATTTTCGCAGGCAGCAGTGGCTCCCCTATTGTATAGATATTCTGCACCCGAAACTGATAGCTGAGTCCTGAAGTATTATGTTATGATACAGAAGAACTTTCATCCCAGGTGCGTTGCTTTATTCTCTCCCTGGCCTATTATGTTACCTTGTACTTAGGTTAAATTGTTGAGGACGTAGGTAGTTATGCCGAGAATAGCAGTGATTGTAGCAAACCCATGTGGGGATTGTAAAGAAATCCGAATATGCCTTCCAAAGGAACACTGTTAGCCTCGACACGACCCTTCAGGATTTTAATGGGATGATTTTAGGCCAAGTGAGAAACAGGCAAAAGCTAAAATAATTTGAGACTAGAGATTATGTTAGAGAGTTTTTATATTTTGGGTTAATATCTATTCTAGGAGTTTACTTTCAGTGAACCTTTTTCCTTAGGGTAGAAGAAAGCTTATCAAAAAGGATGAAAACTTAGACGTCGTCATATTTTTCAAAATAGTGTACTTTTCTTTCAGAGCTTTGTAGCTTTGTATTACCTTTGTATTAAAAGTGAAAATATTTCTTTTAGAACATCACAAGAAAATTAAGATCTTAATTTAAGTGGGGGAACTTCAGGCATGCCCTAATTGCCTTAATTAAATAAACATGCCTTCCTTCTGCCAGGAACTATTCAAATATTAACGAAAATGAAATAAAAATAAGCTTTTATTTACACTTACAAATGACTAGTAATAGCTATTTTGTTTGGAAAGTCTAAGGATACAATGTTGTATTCTTACATATTCAGGAAGTCTTAGGATACAAATGTTGATTTTTTGTTTTTCTAGTCAGGGCAGCCTAACTGTGTTCCTATAAACACATCAAAGTCAGTTTTTACATTGTGACTCAACGTGGTACAAGTCTATCAGTTCATTTGATATCCCATTATGGAGCAAGGTAAAGTAGAAATCAGAATTTTGAGTTCTGGTATTTACTCTCTCAATTCCTTATTAACTTAAATGGTACTTTTTTTTTTTTTTTAATAGCACATGATTCTGGAATTACACTTTGTGACATGGATGAATCTGCACTGACCCTTGGTACAATAGATGTTTCTTATCTGCCAAATTCATCAGAATACAATGTTGGTCGATGCAAGCACATAAGTGAGGAATGGGTAAGTTTAGGATAAGAGTTAAGAGCATTCAGCCTAAAAATGTTCATTTTAATAATGTTTGTGAAGGTGCAAATCCTGGCAGCAACATAATAACGAGAGAGTGATAGCTACAGAACCTGGTATCTTTATGAAGCCTAATAAAAAATGTTATGGCATTATATTGGAGAGAAAAAATAGATAGAAAATTTACATACACTGATTATGTTAGAAAATGAAACAATCCTTTTGCATAGGAAAAAAAATGCTGTAGTAGTTTTTGGTCAAGTTAGTTTTTTTTTTTTTTTTTTTCTTAGTATGTACTTTCCATGAGTTTACTTAAAAAGTATGGGTTTTATAATAGAAGTAAACTTTAAAAAATTAAAAATAGGAAATTATAGTATGAATTCAATCTAAAAGGCATATATTTTCTTGGACTGTTTTTTCTATTTCAATATAACATGACCTATATTGTGAAACTGTAAAATCTTGCTCACTATGTAAGGTCTTTATAGTTCTGTAGTGGGAGTGTGTGGTTTAAAAGGGAGTAAGGTTAATTGTAGCATAGAGATCCAGGAGTCTGAATATATTTGTCTTGCTGTCAGAAGTCTGTTTAACTTTCTACAATTTAGTTTTTAAATTTTTGAATGCTGCCTTCAGTGTGTAGCTATTACTATTCTTGGGTGCTCAACTTTTGCTTATGTGGTAAGTTTTTATCCAAGTGTTGATCATGGAGGGAGTACTTAAATGAAAATCACCGTGTCCTAAGGAAGAATATGCCATAAGTCTTTCTTCTGTCCAAAATACCTTAGTTTTTGAGATCAAGTAGACGAGTATTCTCTTGTCATTTAGACACTGTTTTTTTTTTCTTAATATTTGTCAGGGTGAGTGTGGTTTTAGACCTACTGTTTTCAGATCTGCAACTTTAAAATGGAAGGAAAGCCTAATGAGTCGGAAAAGGCCGTTTGTTGGAAGATGTTGTTACTCCTGCACTCCCCAGAGCTGGGTAAGAATCTTACTGCTTGTTGGCCTCAATGCGCAGCATGAAATATGGAGATTTCCAGCTTTGTAGTGGGTGGTCTTATTGTACTAAATTCACTTTCCGAAGAGAGACTCGTGCTTATGAACCAAATATTTTAAGTAAAGATGTTGGCACAGTTTTTCTTTCCATTCATTTATGTAGTAAATATAGGTTCTATAATTGATACTAGATAACATTCTAGTTCTTTTGAGGTTTTAATAGGATAAAGGGCAGAGTCAATCTTACTTTCAGTTAAGTCTTCCAAGGAGTTAGTGGGAACCTTCATGAACTTTTAGGTGTTGAACTTTAGCACTTAACATTAAAATCCTAGCAAGATAAGAAAGAGATAATAGGACAGAAGAAGAAGTTAAATTTGTGGCTTTGCTCTGAGCCTTGGCTAATGGAAGGTGTCCTCTGACTTTGTGATAGTGAAGGATCATCACCTAAAATCTTAGGATGAAGATTTTAGAGAGTGTATATGGGTTTATCGTTTGTATTTTGGTGAAAAAACATGAGCCATGCAATATCTTCTGCGTTACAGTGTAGTCTTTGAGAAGAGTCGAGTGGGTGAGAGGTAGATTTTTGATGGTAGTTGAAGAGAAGGACAAGTTAGCACAGGAACATAGACTTTCATGTGGTTATATCAAAGGCAGTAGAATTGCCTTTTAAAAGTCATTTCTGGATATTACGTTCTCTCTGGGATCCAGTTATTAGGATGTAGAAATTCTGCCATTTAAGTGCCTGCCATTTATAGAGGTGGCTTTAACCTGTGTGACTAGGTAATTGTGCTGTGTGAATTTTCTACTCAAGATTGGCTTGCAGAAAGTAGAATTCTGAGTCTGGTGTAAAGGGATTTACTGACGTGGGAGAGAATTGTGTGGAACCCAAGCAGTTTGTGTTAAATGTTCAGGTCTGCTCCAGAATGTCTTGTTATAAATATTGCTTCTCTTAAACGACAAGTGCATCGTTGCAAGAATTTGGCAGAATTGAAGGATCCCAGAAATTTCTAGTCTAGGAGTAAAGCTGATTCAGATTAATAGGCCACTTGAAATCAAGATTTAAACAGAATGTTATGTGACTTTTCTTTTTAGACCTGACTCTAGTTTAATTCTACTTTTGAATGTTTACTAAAAATAATAACTACAATGTGTTCTTAAGTCAGAGAGTATAAGAAATTATTGGGTAATGGTGATGGTTTAGAGTAGGGGTAGATAGTACAACAGACAATTGATTTTTGCCTAACTATCGTACCTGGTGGAGCTGAACTTGATCTTGAATTACTTCCGTGACATGATCATTTAAAATCATTTGTTTAAAAATATTTTTATTGGTAACTTTATGATATTTGCTATCTTTTCTCTGAAATCCTATTTTCCTTTTCTCTAAAGAAATTCCACTTAAGTATTTTTATATTTTTTGTTGAGGGAACATTGTGCTTTTTCAGCATTTCAGTGTGGAACAGTTACCTTTTTGCCCATATTGATAAAGGTGGCTTATAACCTGTGTGACTAGGTAATTGTGCTGTGTGAATTTTCAGCAAAGCTATCTCTGGATTATCTTTCAAGATCACGTGTACAGAGGGCGACCAGTAGACATGTGATTTCTCATTAAGTGGACAGTTATTCGGGGTTAATAGAAAGACCATACTCTTTGGAGCAAGACATAAGATTGAATTCTAAACCTCTGCCAGCCTTAGTTTCTCACCTATAAAATGATGTTAATAAATAACTCTTATGTGTCAGGATTTTTGGGAGATGTAGTAACCAACAATAACTGTATGGTGCTTAGCATAATCTTTGTATTTTGGAAAAACTGAAATCTTGACATTCCTGTAGCTTCAGTTCTTTCAAGGTGGAGATGGGGAGTCAAGAAGGAAGGGATATTATTTCCTTTGGTTTTAAGGTTTTAAAGATTAATTTTGAGTTTATGACTTTCTTCGAAGGCTAAAAAGTATTTTTCAATCAAACATTTTTCTTCACTTAGATTTTCGAGGCAGTGTCTGTTTTTATGCTTGATATTAAAGTCATCAAGAACTGGTAATGAGAGCTCTTCACCATCAATCGAGTTGTGTATTTATGTCTACATTTACTTTGTTTTATATAGGACAAATTTTTCAACCCCAGTATCCCGTCTTTGGGTTTGCGGAATGTTATTTATATCAACGAAACTCACACAAGGTAAAAAGAAATTTCTTATGTTTTTAATACATCTCAAACGAAAAACAATATAGTTAACACACTTTAAGCTGAAGTGCTTTGAGTTATTGAGAGTTAATAGAATATGAGTTAACAGAAATATGAGTTTCCGACACAAGAGGCTTTATCTGAAAATTGGAAGCAGTATAGCCACAGAGAGAACGATCACTGTTACCACTTCTGCAGTTACAGGTATTTTCATGAGAGTGTAGATGCCCCTTAGAGTGTTCTTTACTTGTTCTTATATTGATTTTGGATATGAAGTATGCCAAAATGTGGGAAATACTTTCTGAGGAGACCGGTAGGTTTGAATCTCTTATGGTTTATTATAACTATTTAATACTTTAGAAAAAGTATAAATTATTGAAGCCTGCCCAATCTGTAGAGTGTTAGAAGACATTTTTCTATTGAGCAAATGCCCTTTGATTTATTATTTACCCAAGACTTTACATAGAATTCTTACAATTTCCAATCACATGGGATGGGCTTGTAAGTACCAGTGTGAGAGAAAAGGGTCTTTGTTTGATCTGACTCCAGGCAAGGGGACGAACAAGGGGGTTGAAAGTTTGTGTGAATGTCTGTGACGCAAGAGAATCAGTAGCCAAATGCTAGCAGTCCTTGTCATTCTATGAGAATTAGTGCAAGAAATCAACTACTTGAAGCCTTTATGAAATTAATTCTCATAATTTGATGATTAGATCACACATGAGAATGATAATACTTGCATTTGTAGTAAACTTTTGAAAAATAGAACTTAAGTCTAAGACATGAGCATATCTTTCCCATTCCCAGGTTGCTGGTCTCTCTCTCTCTTAAATTTAAATTTAAAGGAGAGGGGAGAGACTTTGGTGTTGAATTTGTTTTTGATAAGATGATAAGATTCTAAGAAAAGGGATCTAATAGAGTCTTCTCTTCCTTATGTAAGTAGATATTTTATATGTAAAGCCAGGTGGTTTGTTTCTTGCCCTCAATTAGAGACAGTTAAGGAAAACTGCATTTGCTATGATGACTAGCCAGTATGAAACTATTCCATGAAATAGGCTGCATGTTCAGCTATTTAATTCTAATGTGTATTATGTGAAGCAAAGCCTAAAACATTTTTACACACTCACGTGTGGTCACACACTCTGTCACTCTCACACAATTCTTACAGTCAGTTGCAAAGGGATTTCATAGAGAGCTTGGACTTTGTACATTCCAGTAGTATTTCTGAAACTGTTGGCTGAAGGAAGAGTTTAGGATTAACATTTAACACACTGGGCCAAATTTTTGGAAGATTTACACAAATAAAAGGAGAAAGAAAGAGAATGGCAGGAAGGAGAGATGACAAAATAGGTGATTCATTAACAATTCTCAAATTACTTTTTCTCAACTGAGGGCATTCTGTGTCTTTTCAGAGTTCCTGAATTGATAATGATAATGTGGCATTATGTAGTCATTACAAATGGTTTTAAATTATTATATAATGAAAGCTCGTAGCATTCATATTCTGAAACTCATCTCTCTGTCCTCCCATCTAAATACCACATAGTCATGTGTTACTGACAGGAATATATTCTGTACCTCAGGTATATTTAAAATGTAGAAGGGGTAAAAAAGTGAGAAATTCTGGCTTCGTTAGCCCAGAGCACAAATATTTAGATGGTGCTTGACTTCTTTCAACTCATCAGCCTTGTCAGTTCAATTAGAAAGTCATTGATTATCTTAGGGGAAAAAAAAAAAGCTATTACCAAAAAATAAAATTAGCCTTTAATCATAGGAAAAGACTTCCAAGTTTATCTTTTTTGGGGAGGGGAAGGGAGATGGAGTTTTGCTCTTGTTGCCCAAGCTGGAGTGCAATGGCTTGATCTCAGCCCACTGGGCTCACTGCAACTTCTGCCTCCCAGGTTCAAGATTTTGGACTCTACTTCACTAGTCCAAAATCAACACCAGTGGGAGAAAACCCAATTATTTTAAACTCTTAGATTATTATATATTCTCTTTTCTTGCTAAAACCTTCAAATATGTTTATTCTCCTGTTTTAGCCTCCCAAATGGTTGGGATTATAGGCGAGTGCCACCACACCCGGCTAATTTTTTGTATTTTTAGTAGAAACAGTTTCACCATGTTAGCCAGGCTGGTCTCAAACTTCTGACCTCAGGCGATCCACCTGCCTCGGCTTCCCAAAGTGCTGGGATTACAGCTGGGAGCCACTGCGCCCTGCCTCCAAATTTATCTTTTTATAGCCCATAGCTATAACTATAAACTGTATGGTTTATCAGAATAGATATAGCTTATATATAGCATTACACATTTTTGCCTTTTAAATCATGCTAATAAAGCCAAATGTTTTTATTTATTTTGTTTTTATATAGGGTTATTCAGCACAGTAACACTATTCAAACATGACACACAAATTCCAAGTTTCAGCTTTAGCTGTGAGTACCTGAATAAAATTGGCTGCACAGCATTCTGAGTGACTAAGGAGAATTTGTTATAGGAGAACCCTAAGTCTCAGAAATAGATGACATTAGGCCTTGTTTTTAATGGGCTCAAAATTAGTTTATAATTTAAGCGGCTTGTTTTAGGTGTACCTGTAATACTTCTCTGGTAAATCATTTTCATGTTACAGACACCGGGGATGGCTTGCAAGATGCCTTTCTTATGTTCTTTTTATTCAAGAGCGAGATGTGCATAAGGGCATGTTTGCCACCAACGTGACTGAAAATGTGCTGAACAGCAGTAGGTAAGGGTGGGGCACAGCTGTAAAGTTGGGCAGAGGCAGGGATGGGTGGTAGGAGTGGGAGGGGGAAGTGATTCTCCTTAGTAAACTTTAGTTTCTTTGGGACTATGTCTCAAGAAGTGTTTGTATTTCCAAACATTAAATGTTAAGCTCTAAAGGAAACTAAGGAGAACAGATGCTTTGGTGACAGTGCCATGTGGGAATAGCAGTCTTGTTTTGTGGATTAATAATTAAATGGGTTTCTAAAGCATGAAAGGCAAATAGGAGTTCAGAGATGCGTGTATTTCCAGAGTTCTCTGTTTTCTGTAATATAAATGTTGGAGACACTGCATTTCCTATTTTATAGCCAAAAGAGAAATCAGTTTGATATTGTTGCCAGTTACTGAGTACCTAGGTAGAAATTCTTGTACTAGAAAGTCATTGCTAGAAATCTTAAGAGAATGAGATACTGCCTTTGCTGTCACAGGAGCTTGGTTACAAATGGTAGAGACTGACTGGAACTCAGGAGGAAGGGGAAATAAACATTCTACAGTATGGGAGTTTGGGTGAAGGTGTTCCAAACTCCCATACTCTAGAATGTTTATTCTAGAATACTGGCCTCATTGATGTGGCCAGTTTTAGAGGTCTACCTGGATTTGGGGAGCAGGAGACCAGGGTGAATTAAAAGGCTGGTTTGACTTCTCAAGAGTTGTTTGTACACTCTGTGTTATGTTTGTTAAGGCCTGAATGGGGATGGCACGTAGTACATACTCAAGAAACACTTCTTGAATGAATGAGTAAGTAGTTGATAATGGAGATGCATCAGTCATGGAAACATTCCTGGCCAGAATGCAATTAATGCTTTTTAAGAAATAGACTCGGGGTACATTCATGTCCTTTGGTACTGGTCTTTTTGTATTAGTGAAATGTGGGGTTATGTGGAATTTAGCTCTACTTCACTAATCCAAAATCAACACCAGTGGGAGAAAACCCAATTATTTTAAACTCTTAGATTATTATATATTCTCTTTTCTTGCTAAAACCTTCAAGTATGTTTATTTCATCCAGATGTTTTGACTAGTAACTGGGATGTTAGAAGTGGTTGAAGGAGGTTGAACCTCATGCTTTTTCCCCTAAGTCAACTGGAAGATTTATAAAATGGTATTAAATGTTTCCTTTTATCTCACTGCTTATTACTATGTGCTGTGCTCTTTTGATCTTGAGTTGTGTCTTTTAAACTTACTGGTTTGAGTTGAAAAAATATTTATAAATATTTATGTTCCTTTTTGAACCCTCCCAGAATTTTACGTATTGTTTTACTAATGGAGTCACAATAGAGTTAATAGTAAATTAGGTCTTCAAAAGAAAAATCACACATTAATTTGGTAGTAGAGTTTTGGATACATCTGACTTGTATGCCTAAAAGGATAACCTTTCTTTTACTCTCTTCTGCTAGAATGCGGTTTTGTGTCTTTCACACTTTAATGGGGACATTCAAACTCACACGGTTGTCACCCAGTACATTTGAATTAAATTCTTCAGTCTGCTTTCCAGATTCCTCAGACATTCGTTGATTTAGGAATATCAATGAATATCCCTATCTCTCCTATCTCTGTTAATTGATAGGAGCCAGTGTCTTTAATATTTAATAGCCAGAAAGAGCACTTCTAGCTTGAGCTTATTCTTTCATATTATCACATTTCAAAGAGAACTTATATTTTGTTTGGGGATTTATAACTGCAGTTTAGAAAATACTGAACATAGAATGTAGTAGAGAACCAGTTATATTGTCTCTCCATTTTCATACCAGAGTACAAGAGGCAATTGCAGAAGTGGCTGCTGAATTAAACCCTGATGGTTCTGCCCAGCAACAATCAAAAGCCCTTAACAAAGTGAAAAAGAAAGCTAGAAGGATTCTTCAAGAAATGGTTGCCACTGTCTCACCAACAATGATCAGGTATTAAAAAGCAAGGCAAAAAGCTTTCAATCACAGCCATGGCAATTTGAGCAAATAAGACTGAATTATTGAACTTTCCTGGCACAGTTCTCTTTGTCCAAAAGATGTTTTAATGAATTCTGATATTAAATTAAACTCTTGTTTATATTCTTATTCAGCTTTCATGCAAAGCAGTGCTGTGTTGGGCTTGAAGGCGCCTTCATCTCTGTTAACTGATAGCAGCCAGTGTATTACAGCAGGCTGCTAGATGACATCTGCTCATCTAGACTAGTTGTGAACCAACTTTCACGTAACTGAGTCATACAAGGAGTGGTTTGCATGCATCAGAGGCATCATTCTGCTCACTAAATATTCGTTTGCCTTGGCCATTTGCTTCTGCAATATAAAGTGTTATTAGAGTGATATATGATTGTAGTCCATAATGAATGGATACTTCTGTAAGTGGTATATATGTAAAGTTAGGTCTAATCCAGCAATTCAGGTACACTTGCACGCATGTAAACACACACACAAAGTCATTTACAAGTACTTTTAGGTTGTAGGTCCAGAAATCTAAGTAGACAGAAGTCAACTGTATATGCTTGTTTGAAAAAATATATGTGTGTACATTGATGTTTTTTGTTTGTACTTTGTTTCAGACTGACTGGGTGGGTGCTGTTAAAACTGTTCAACAGCTTCTTTTGGAACATTCAGATTCACAAAGGTCAACTGGAGATGGTTAAAGCTGCAACTGAGGCAAGAATTCCCGTGAATCTATTGCCCCGTTTTCCCGTCATTTGTAGAGGGCTTTTAGAGTTCTTGTGGAAATGTTCTCTTGTGTGCTGTTGTATATTTCAGCCTATTTGGAAGATTTTCCTTATTTGTGGTAACTTCAGTAGCTGTGTCTTTGGGGAGGAGAATTGGGAGTACTTACCAGCAATATGCAGGATTCCTTTTTTAAGTTACCTTGCAACAACCCTGAAAATCTGGTAGAACAATCTCTATTTCGTAGATGAAGCAATCGAGATACAGATAGTTAAACAGGTTGTTTCAAGTGGCAGATAGTAAGTGACTTGCCCTGGATTTCAAACCAATCCAAGCCTCACTCCATAACCTGTGCTCCTTTTCTATCAGTAGAGCTGTTTCTCAGGAAATGTGTAGGGCAGCTGGAACTCTTGGTTGCTCTTCTTCCCCCAACTGATTTCTGTTGTTAAAGTTGCGCTTATTTTTAGCTCAAAAAGTATTACATTGAAGGAAGTTCATATTGTTGGAAAATGTTTTTAAAGAGTGAGTCACTAATTAGCCAGTGTTTGAGTGACTCTAGCCAAATATGCAGTTGCAAAGTGTGATTGAATTTTACATTTGAATTTTAAATTTGGCATTTTTCCCTTTGCTAGACGAATTTGCCGCTTATATTTCTACCAGTTCATAGATCCCATATTGACTATCTGCTGCTCACTTTCATTCTCTTCTGCCATAACATCAAAGCACCATACATTGCTTCAGGCAATAATCTCAACATCCCAATCTTCAGGTAAGATGAGCTTGAGATTGAAGGAACGAAAAAGATTATGTTTTGAATTTTGGGGTTTTTAAAATTGTACCTTTGGATATATCTTACTGTAAGGATGACATTAGCACTTTTTCTTTTATTATAAAAGTGATACATATTTATTGTGTAAAATTTGGAGATGCACAAATTGCATTAAGACTATCACCATTATTTATATATTTTATGTGGGATACTTGGTGAACTGTGACTCCCTAAACTTTATGACCATTATTTATCAAATAGATAAAAGGCAATTAGAAAGGCAAGATAGCAAAGTCCAGGCCCAGCAGTAAGGAGTTGTGTGGCGGGGGAGGGGGCAATGATGTGGGAGAGGGGTTACTGGTATAAAGATAACCATACCTGGTACTTTGACCTCATAATTTAGTAGAGCCAGAACCACTTAAAAAGTGCAGTATAATGTGAAAGGTGTCTTTTAGAGGTTTTTTTTTAGAGGTTTTCCTCAATGCATTCCATTTGGAGGAAGTAGTCTGTGCAAATGCAGAGAGATACAGGAGCGTGATATGGTTGGGAAGTGATGGACAATTAGGTAAGGGGGTAATATGGGATGCATTAGGAAGGATCAGAGACTGAAGGTGGTAGCTGCATAGGTAGTGAGCCAGATCAAAACAATTTCTAAGCCAAGAGATTAGAGTCTGTTGTGTACTTGAGAAATGGCGTGTTCAGATTTGTATTTTGCAAGGTCATCCTGGATTAGAAAGAATGAAATTAATTCTGATTCCATTTAGATAGTTCAGGCAGAAGATAATGCAGGCCTAAATTAAAAGTATAGTAGTGCCTTTGGACAGGAGGGCACAGATTTTAAAGTATTTAGTAGCTTAGATTTATAAGACCCAGTGCTAGTCCATATTGGGGCGGGCTCAATAGAGAGAGAGGGGAAGTAACAAGATTCCCAGGTGTTTACCACCTAGGAAACTGGGTAGATGGTAGGTCTGATCACCAACAAGGAATTGGTGAGGAACTGGTTAAGCTGGTTTGGGAAGTTAAAGTTTCAAACCTGAAAGCACAAAGCAACTCTAAGGTCAGCTCTGTGGGTAGAGAGTGGGTAAGAGGAGCATGAATTTAGAAAGAGACTAGAAGTAAAGTGGACTGGCTTTAGGAAAGGAAAGGTTGTGCAGTAGAGCTTCACAAGATGGCATTCGTCACCTTTGTGTGCTGTGTCCTCAGTATCACAGTCTAAGGAGCTCCTTCTTAATCCCTTGGTTCAGAGTTCTCTAGGCTTTCAGAGTTCTGTAGCTAACCAGACTCCTGTGACCAACTAAAGAGAAGCCATGCATTCTCTTGTGATATTTATCCAACAGTACTTTTAGACAAGAGAGAACAAAATATGTAGTCCTTGCCTTCACATAGCGGAATGGATAATACAGTAGAGTGTGATATGACCCTACAGGGTAGATGTGCTTTTCCAAGAATTAGAATATCTGTGTTTACTCTCCACGGTACCTCTTCCCAGGACCAAGGAACCTGGGAAACTGAATTAGAAAGTCGTTTCGAAGTTTCTGGTGGGCATAGACTTAGAGGGAAGGGGACTGTTCTGTTGGGGCTCTAGAGAGTCTCTGCTTCTCTTGTAATTAGACGATTTCCTGTACCCATTTCCTCCACATTTGGTTCTCAACTAGGATTTCTTGGAACTATTTAATAAACACTGTTAGTTTTTCATAATCCAGCTTTCCCTTTCATGGACTCTAAGCCAGCCATTGCGTAGCTCATCCGCCCTTCAGACACAGCAGGCTGTAGATAACCCAGCCTGGTTTTGTGCAGCTTTCTTTTGTTTCATGACAGCTTCCCCATTCACAAACCACTTCCCAGGTGTTATTTTTGTAAATGGCTCATCTCATTCATTATGAATTTTTTCTGCAGAGTTTTACTGTCAAAGAATGATTACTAAGCTTTGGCAGCAACTTACTGTGGACTCCTTGTGTTTACTGTAGAGCAGTGGTCCCCAACCTTTTTGGCACCAGGGACCAGTTTCATGGAAGACAATTTCCACAGACCACGGGGATGGGGAGGATGGTTTTGGAGGATGGTCCCCAACCTTTTTGGCACCTGGGACCAGTTTCATGGAAGACAAGTTCCACAGACCACTGGGATGGGGAGGATGGTTTTGGAGGATGGTCCCCAACCTTTTTGGCACCAGGGACCAGTTTCATGGAAGACAATTTCCACAGACCACGGGGATGGGGAGGATGGTTTTGGAATGATTCAAGCATTTTACATTTATTGTGCACTTTATTTCTATTATTATTACATTTAATATATAAAGAAATAATTACACAACTCATCGTAATGTAGAATCACTAGACGGTCCCAACTGGGAGTGATGGAAGACAGTGACAGATCATCAGGCATTAAGAGTCTCATAAGGAATGCACAACCTAGATCCCTCAGGCGCAGTTTACAGCAGGATTTGTACTCCTATGAGAATTTAATACTGCTGATCTGACAGGAGGCAGAGCTCAGGGGGTAATGCTACCAATGGGGAGTAGCTGTAAATATAGATGAAGCTTTGCTCCCTCCCCTGCTACTCATCTTCTGTGTGGCCCGTTCCTAACAGTCCAGGGACCGGTATTGGTCTGTGGTCCTGAGGTTGGGGACTCCTGCTATGCCCCAAAAATATATATTAACATTTATATTAGTATCACTTTACTTGGAAAGAATAGGAGGCTGTGAGTTTGGAAAGATTGACTTAGACAATTTCAACTTCTTATCAAAATTAGTGTTGTACAAAGAGACATGGGAATGGAAAAAGAATTGTTTTATGCCTGTGTATGTGCAAATGAAGCATATTTTTGTTTCATGTTTTGGAAAGATGGTTATGCGTGGTTTCAGTTGGATAAAATTATTTTCAGTTGGATAAAATTATTATAAGGACCCCCTGTAAGCAGTAATTATTTGAGAAAATTTCCCCCAAGGAGCTTTTATGATAAACATCATATTCATTTTGTAGTAAACATGCCATGAGCAAATTGCAGGATATCTAAGGGTCAGTGTCTTCAGACCCTGGGCAGGATTTTAAAATTTAGAAGTGTTACATAATCCTCTTAAAATTTATACTGTCACCTTTATGGTAATATGTCATGCAAACTCCTTTTGGCTTGGAGCACATGTCATAGAGGTTCATTATGCACAGTGATATCCCAAAGACTGATGAACAGTGTAAATGAAACACGTCAATATGTGGAAAATGAAAAAAGGCCTGTGTTTTTACTGTCAGCAGCTCATACAGCACTTATGGCTTGTATCCAATTGGCAAATGTTTTGAATTAACTTGGAATATGAGTATTCTTTTTACATTTTTCTTCATAAATAATTCATGCATTCTGAATTTGTAGTACCTTGATCCATAAGCTTGGGGGCTTCTTCATACGACGAAGGCTCGATGAAACACCAGATGGGCGGAAAGATGTTCTCTATAGAGCTTTGCTCCATGGGGTATGTATGATTGCTAATTATCCTTAGAGCCATTGTGTTGGTTATCACAGTAAAAGCAAAAACGACGCTATTGAGTTGGGATTTTTAAGAAACGACTATTTGGGTAATTTGAGTGATTATTGCTTAAGCTTGGTGATTTATTTTGTTGTTGTTGTTATTACCAAAATAGAGCATTGGAGGAGCTGCTCTAATAGTGTGAATAAGATACTTTGTCAGTAGTGAAGTTATAGTTTTTTCTGTTTTGCTTTTTAAGATTTAATTTTCCTGAGCTCATTCTAAGTTGAGTGGTTTTGAATTCATGTTTTACTTTCTTCTCATATCCTAGCATATCGTTGAATTACTTCGACAGCAGCAATTCTTGGAGATATTCCTGGAAGGCACACGTTCTAGGAGTGGAAAAACCTCCTGTGCTCGGGCAGGACTTTTGTCAGTTGTGGTAGATACTCTGTCTACCAATGTCATCCCAGACCTCTTGATAATACCTGTTGGAATCTCCTATGATCGTATTATTGAAGGTCACTACAATGGCGAACAACTGGTAAGGGTACCTACACAAAAGTTGTCTTTGTTTATCAAGTTTTGCTTTTAGATTTAACTTTTAGAATTTAGATTTGCTTTTAGAATTAACTAAGAATTTTTTTTGGTACTCCCTATGTTTAAAGCACTGTATGAAATGTGACTGGGTGGGCACGGCGAGTAGCTTTCATGCCCTGTGAAAACACTACTTGATTGGTAGTGCTTATATGGTGTCTTCCTGATGAGCTTGGCAGAAATGACATGGTTAGATTTATCAGTGCTCACCTTGGTCTTTGGATTGGAAAGTGGGAGACTTGTCACCACGTTGCCATCTCTGCTGTGAGGTTATCTGTGGTTTGTTCTTCCCAGGTCTTACTGATAATGTGCAAATTTTAAAATGGGCTTGAAGAACTGGTGGGGGTCATGCTGGTGAAAACAACTACAAATTAATTTGAGAAGTAGCAATAACTTTTTTAATACACCTTTTTATTGATGTATAATAGTTAACAAAAGAGTATACATATCATAAGCATATAGCTTGAATTATCACAAAGTGAATACATCTATGCAAGCAACACCCAGATCAAGGAATGATATTACCAGGACTTTGAAACCCTCCTGGTGCTTCTCCTATCTTTATCCCGTCAAGGATAATCATTAATTTAATTTCTTACACAGTGGGTTAGTTTTGCCTATTTTTGCACTTACATAAATCAGATAATACATGATCTGTACGCATCTGGTTTCCTTTGCTTAAGCAGGTGTTTGTGTGATTCCTCTGCCTTGTTGCATGTAGTTTGTTCCTTCTCATAGCTGTGTGGTATTCCGGTGTATGAGTATACCACAATTTATTTTACTATTAACAAAATATTTGTCTGTAATCATTCTTGTGTATTTTTTCTTGATGACCACATACATTCATTTTGTTGGGTATGTGCCTAGGAGAAGAACTGATGGGTCATTAAAAAAATGTGTATTTTCAGCTGTAGTAGGTACTGCCAACCACTTTATCAGAATGGCTTTACCAACTTACCTCTCCAGTCAACAGTTCAGAGTTCCAGTGGTAGTTAGTTTTGTTCTTATTTATTGTGGAAATTTGGGGTGAGGTACTTATTTCAAGCTTATGGCTCCAAACATGTCAGAAATTCAAGAGGCTTTAGAAGTTAGGTGTTAGGCTTTCAGAGGAAGTGATAGGATTTGCAGGGCACTCTTCTTCTGTTCTGTGAATCTGTCCTTGATGTGTACCCTGCTCATTCTGTGTCTCACAAGTTCATTTATGAGTCTGTGTCCGTTATATGTCCTGTCATTGTGCCTTATGTGTAATAGATACTAGGTGCTTACTGAGTGTATACTCAGTTCAAAGGCTACTGTGAGGCTGGATTTGCAATTACTTGGCTAATATTAGATATTTAGACTCTGGGGATCATCAGACCTAAGATAAATGGCCTCTTTGAAGTTTGATTTTTATTTAAGAACCACAGAACAGTTTTCCAGGCTATGTCAATTTTTCCTTTGTTAGTTTGCAATTGTATTTTTGTGAATTGTGTGACCATTATACTAAATGAAATAGTATTAGATGTTTCATTTTTCATTGACTGAATTATATCTCCCAATGACATGATTACATCTGTTAGCATCTTTGAATACCAAACATTTTCTGACAGGCCGCAGTTAATGACTCCTTCCTTTCCTTCTTCATTCATTGTTCTTTTTTGAGATGAACTTACAGTTTCCATAAAACAAATTATTCTGTGGATAATAGAATGTTTGTGTATGTGTTGGCTTTCTCACTGTGTTATTCTCACTGTTGGAATTTAGGGCAAACCTAAGAAGAATGAGAGCCTGTGGAGTGTAGCAAGAGGTGTTATTAGAATGTTACGAAAAAACTATGGTTGTGTCCGAGTGGACTTTGCACAGCCATTTTCCTTAAAGGTGAGTGTCTATTGAAATGAAACCATGTTGAAGCATTGACTTGAGTCAGGGGCTCCAGTGCTGATTCTAACAGCACCTCCCTGCGTAATGTGGGGCTGCAGTTTGCTCTCCTGTAAAATGAGGACTATGACAAAGGTGGTGTTTCCTACGTTTTCCCACAAAATTTGCCTATTGACAAAGGAGAGTGAGTTTCTGTTTTGGGAAGATATCAGGCTCAACATTTATTGCTATTATGTAATTCATGACAGTCTAAGAGGAACAAAAAATAGGTAGAAGGAGTAAATTCTAGTATTCGATAGTATAGTAGGGAAATTATACTTAACAGTAACTTTTTGTATATTTCAAAATAAGTAAAAGAGAAGAACTGTAATATTCCCAACATATACAAAAAAGTTAAGTGTTTGAGATGATGGTTATGCCAAATACCCTGGTTTTATCATTATACATTGTATATAGGTAACAAAATATCACATGTACCCCAAAATATCTACAACTGTTATATATCAATTAAAAAACCCCAAAAGTCAAAAAAGCATTTTGAGATGGATGAATGAATAAATGAATAATTGTAAAAAAAATAAAAACTCATGTGAATCTTCCATGTGCCTTTATAATATGTATTTATATCTTATTTTTTAAAATTGCATTTAGGGGAAATTTTTCCAAACAGTTCCCTTAAAATCTGGGTAAATTTTTTTTTTTTTTGATACCGAGTTTTGTGCTCTCGTTACCCAGGATGGAGTGCATTGGCACAATCTCAGCTCACTGCAGCCTCCCCCCACCGGGTTCAAGTGATTCTCCTGCCTCAGCCTACCAAGTAGCTGGGATTACAGGTGCCTGCTACCACACCTGGCTAATTTTTATATTTTTAATAGAGTTGGGGTTTCACCATGTCTGCCAGGCTGCTCCCGAACTCCCGACCTCAGGTGATTTGCCTGCCTTGGCCTCTCAAAGTGGCAGGATTACAGGCGTGAGCCACCATGCCTAGCCAAAGCTTGGTAAATTTGGCACTTAGGATGATGCTCTCTGTGTCCTATTGTGTAGAATCCAGTACCCACACATCCAAGGGATAGTGCCATCCTCATTGAAAGTCTGCGACTGGCCGGTCCCTGAGGTCCTTGCTGTTTTAAATTCTTAAGATATTCAAATTGTAAGGAGAAGGAGAAGAATGGGTGCAGAAGTAGGGAGCCCAGGGATAAGGAGCAGAAGGACCTGCCTCCTTTTATTCTACTTTCTGGCTTCACTTGAAGAGATTCCAGCTGCTGTGGTAGATGTTTGCTGGCTTTAAATGCTCGATCTTTTAGAACCTCATCATTTCTTGCCACTTTTCTTTTCCTTTGTTTTTTAAACGCTCACATAGCTCCTCTGTCTTGTTATAATTTGCTTTTAGATTGAGGTTCTTTTGAAAATAATGTGACCCTTGGGTTGCCAGAATATTTTTAAGTATGATTATGTCTGTTATCACTATTAATGATATTGGGAATGTCAATTTTATGAAGATGTGTGAGAAAAGGTAAGAATTTTCTTTTAATTTTCAAATCATTTTGTTTGAGCATCCTGTTCTTTGTGTCTTCAGTTCTTAAGTTCAGTTTCATGCTTAGCAACATTCTTGAGTCATTCTGGACTTCCAAAGATAGTTTGGGATATAGAGAGTATTTTCCATGTTCTCTAGCATGGCTTATTTTAAAAACAACTCTCTTTTAACCTTTGGAAGATGAAATTGTATTTTATATGTTGGTGGGAAAGTGAGAGTAAATGATCATGTTGTATTTTTTTTCTTCAGGAATATTTAGAAAGCCAAAGTCAGAAACCTGCATCTGCTCCACTTTCTCTGGAGCAAGCATTGTTACCAGCTATACTTCCTTCAAGGTAAAATTTGTAGAATTTTTTACACAAGTTAAGCTACTAAACATCTGTTATTTCTTGTATTGCATGGATTAACCGTATTAAGAATGTGCACATTCTTATTTTCACTTCTTTACTCAAGTAACTTTTCCCCTGGTCCGATAAGGGATGTTGAGATGACATGTTTTCATATTAGTTTGGAGGGTTTCTTAAATTATTTGCTTATAAAATCCTTTTTATTTTGTGAATCATATAGGAATTCCTATTTGGTTTATACTTTTTGAATGCTTGAACTGATTTTTTTCGGTAGTAGGTTACGCATATTGTATGTAAGTGAAATGTATAAAAGAATTCTGCTGTTTCAATTTTTCAGAATTCAAATTGAATTTTAACTTAGGGAAATTGAATATGAAGCCCTTCCTTTACTATGTGGAAGTGTTGAATTTTCAAAAATGTTTTAAAATAGGGCATCTTGCTTTATGTATTTTCCTGTCAGCGGTTTTGGAAATGATGTATCAATAGACTATTTCATCAATAACATGTTTTGGCCAGGCCGTAATACAGTATGTTATGGAGGAAAACAACCGATAGAAATCATCTATGTGTGGTTTGAATTTAAAATATGTTGCAATTTAAAGTATCTAATTTATTTAAAGATCAGTTCCACAGTTTGCCTTGTAAAAGAGTGCAGTTGTGGGTTGATTTTCAAAACACTTTTCAGACCCAGTGATGCTGCTGATGAAGGTAGAGACACGTCCATTAATGAGTCCAGAAATGCAACAGATGAGTCCCTACGAAGGAAGTTGATTGCAAATCTGGCTGAGCATATTCTATTCAGTAAGTAGAATACCAAACCTTTTAATTCTATAATTAAGATTCATCATGGTGCAGTGCAAACTATACAGGTTTTGGGATCTGCTGAGGAGGTTAGTTTCTACTTCAGGTTCTATTAATTCACAGGTGGCAATAGGTGAGTTATTAGAAAGAAGGTGATACCATGGGGATTGAGATAATATGAGTTAAACATCTTATACAGTGTCTGGTAATTAGTAGGTATGCATGTGGTAGTTTTTGTGTGCCTTTTTTTTTTTTGGAGATGGAGTTTCGTTCTTGTTACCCAGGCTGGAGTGCAATGGCGCGATATCTCGGCTCACCACAACCTCTGTCTCCTGGGTTCAGGCAGTTCTCCTGCCTCAGCCTCCTGAGTAGCTGGGATTACAGGCACGTGCCACCATGCCCACCTAATTTTTTTTTGTATTTTTATTAGAAACGGGGTTTCACCATATTGACCAGGATGGTCTCGATCTCCTGACCTCGTGATCCACCCACCTCGGCCTCCCAAAGTGCTGGGATTACAGGCATGAGCCACTGTGCCCAGCCCCAGTTTTTGTGCTTTTTAAAGATGGTATTATTAAAATGATTTGTTGCGTCCGTTGCTCATCAGTATATTTTATTTGAACTAATTTGTGGTACAACATCTAGATTTATAGTTCCATGTCCATTTCTCCTTTGACCTCGTAAGTTTTTATAATGCAGCAAATATGAGTAGCTTTGTATAAAGCTTTCCCTTAGCCATGGAGAATACAAAATGAATAATTAATGGTTCTGTACTCAACGAGCTTATGCTGTTTTAGTGGGATGGTTGTACACAAATAATTGAAGTGAACCCAGAGAGGAGTGTGAGTTCACTCCAGGACCAGTCTTCTTTGAGTTCCAAGTTGTATAGTTGTGTCCTGTCGTGGAGGGTGTTTTAAAATCCCAAGGCAGCACCCTGCTTACCCAGTTGTGATTTCTTTCTTGCTATTCTCTGGGCCGGGACCCAGGATCCTGTTCTGGGGGCTCCTATTCCTGCTTGTCTTTGGGCCAGAGGATTCTCAAGCACATTTGATTATGTCTCTCTCCTGCTTAAAATCTGGATACAAAAAATAATACCTTATTGTTGAAAAGTTGGAATGTAAAGATGAAATAGATAGCAAAAACCCACTACCGAAATAACTGGTGGCGTTGCTATGTAGTCTCTCAAAATATTATTTTTACTGTTTTGTATTGTGCTGCTTTCTATTTATAACACATGTATTAATATTTTAAAATTCTTTATAAATATTTTTAATAGCTATACATATAGTACTGAGTATTTTTTTAAATACTGGAGACATCTTCAATTATGAGTGGTGAATGAAGTATTCATAAATTTATTGTTATCTTAGAAAACTCACAAGTGTTATTGTGATTTCAGATTATTATACCATGGGTGTTCTCAGATTTGATTTATATAATTATAATTTTATGCAAATTCACAGTGTTGCAGTGTTGGGTTGTGCACTCTAGTTCTTCTCACGTGTTTCTGTGCCCTTTCTTACCTCTGGGTCAGGTTGAAAGAGGAAACGCAGACATACTGAGTACCCATTACTGTGGCTCCTGTGCTGGGCCAATTAACCTTTTATTCTCACACAGTCTAATGAGCTAGGGTAGTATTTTCATTTTACCAATGAGAAATGTGAGGCCAGAGATTTAAGTAATTTGCCCCAAGTCATGAAGTTAGTGAGTAAGTTAGGATTTGAGCTCAGATTTTCCTGACTTCAAATCAGCTGTTACCCTTCTACTACACTTTCCTTTTAACATGGGGAATACCAGAAGAAGAGTGGAGTTGTAGTTATAATAGATAGCAAGTGGGTGCAAGTCAAGGAATATGGAAATGGGAAATCCTGTAGAACTCAAACAGGCTTGTACTTTGGGTCTTATATTTCAATAAGAGTGTCTCTTCTTCATTCAGTAATTAAGTTCCATTGGCCTGGATTGAAGGTGGACCAGTCTTGGCCTGTTATATGATGAATAGTGATCTCTAATGAGGTTCCATTGTACCAGAACACTGTGATATTGTAACTTCCTGTTGGTAAATCACACTTACTGGAAATGTGATAGAAGACTTTTATAGTTTTAAATACTCTTGTTTAAAATTTAGATATTTCAAATAAGTTCAGTTATATTTGAAAAAAAGTGCAACTAAATAAAGCTTTGTGTTTGCCTTCCAGCTGCTAGCAAGTCCTGTGCCATTATGTCCACACACATTGTGGCTTGCCTGCTCCTCTACAGACACAGGCAGGTATGTCTGCAATGTCACCTGCAGTTAAGTAGGAAGCAGGAGAATGTTTTATCAGCTGCTCGAATACATGTAATACATATTCAGGAGGCAGATTTGGCACACTCCTGGCTGGTACTATGAGGTAAACAGTAAAATAAGCTGAGGACCCTGTCCAAAGGAGTTTATCAACTTGGTGGAGGAAGAATCTACGTTAAAAAACAAAGCAAAACAAAACCAGACTGCTTAATATATGTAGTACTAAGACATTGCTTGATTAATAATGTAAATAAGTTCTCTTTCATTAACATGTAGTGTGTATACTGATAGCAGATGCTTTTCAAATGAATTGATTGGCATTTTAGAACCCACCCTTTACCCTCTCAAAATACATTTGTCTAAGCTTTATGATGGAAGAAACCACACCAGTCTTGTCCCGTCGTGTTCTCACTACCAAACACAGTGCCAATATATATAGGCACCCAATAAATATTTGTCAGATAAATATTTAAAATGAAGGGAATCTTGCTAAAAAATAAGTACTTCTTACTTGCAGATGGCTTTTTTTTCCCTTTGTGATCTTATGTGTGCATATCGTGTGTCATGGCTAGAGTGTTCACTAGCATGTGACATTCCTGGAGGACCAGCTTGTTAAGCAGTTTTCTGGCTCACTCTGCATTGGTATTCTGGCCCTCCTTCCTCTATGTGCCAGCAGTGAGCTGCAGGAAAGCCAAGGCAAGGAGAAAGTCTGGGAGTGTTGGCCTCTCAGTAGGGTTCCACTGTCATGATACCGTTTTTGTCTCTTTAGGGAATCGATCTCTCCACATTGGTGGAAGACTTCTTTGTGATGAAAGAGGAAGTCCTGGCTCGTGATTTTGACCTGGGGTTCTCAGGAAATTCAGAAGATGTAGTAATGCATGCCATACAGCTGCTGGGAAATTGCGTCACAATCACCCACACTAGCAGGAACGATGAGTTTTTTATAACCCCCAGCACAACTGTCCCATCAGTCTTTGAACTCAACTTCTACAGCAATGGGGTACTTCATGTCTTTATCATGGAGGCCATCATAGGTACGTCAGGCCTTGAAATATTTTCAGTAATTTTCATGGACAGTAAAAGAGCCTAAAACACATAGTGATATCTGCTTTAATTTGGGTGATAGCCCCTTGCTTGAGGGAATGTGGCTGTATTTTTAGTTTCCAAATGAAAATGTAATCTCCTGTTACATCACTGTTCATAACTACAATGAGTAGTTACCGAATTACCACTTGTATAGTATTATTCTTATTAGGAAAGGTAGAGTGTCTTGCTATCCAGGAGCTGAAAATCTAACTGAGATGAGACATACAGGGCAGCAAAGTGAGTGGAGGACCTCATTTGTGATAGGAGAAGAGAGGAAGGAGAGAACAGGGGGCTCATGTCATTGGAGAAGGTTTTTGATGGAGTTAGGATCATATGGAATCAAGAATTGAATCGTGGGATTTACTTAAATTTCTCCAGCAAATACAGGCCATTATTTTTGATATATTAACAGTCTCTTAAGGTTATTCAAACCAGTTGAAGTTTTTCTTGGACACTTAGAGCTGGCAACTTCATTGTTGCTTTGCTTTTCTTAGCTTGCAGCCTTTATGCTGTTCTGAACAAGAGGGGATTGGGGGGGCCTGCCGGCACCCCACCTAACCTGATCAGCCAGGAGCAGCTGGTGCGGAAGGCGGCCAGCCTGTGCTACCTTCTCTCCAATGAAGGCACAATCTCACTGGTGAGTGAAGACTCTTCAGTGTTGCCTGGTCTCTTTTCTTGAGCGTTTTCATGAAAACATAAACCCCCTGTGTTTTTCTGTTAGAGGATGTTTGGCCCATTGTTGACACTTTAAATTCCACTCCTGGATTTCAGTGACCACGCAACCAGTATGTCATTTCCTATCTTGGTTTGCTCTTTGACTCATTGTTCCACTGAATCCATTCTGCAGCTTTGAGCCATGATAGGACAGATTGGTCAGTGTTCTCAGCAGTTGCAGCCAAAGCTAGTGAGCACGTGTTGTGTATGAGGCACTGGGTCAGTGGTTTGTACATAATTAACCTACCCACCTGTAGATGATGGAACCGCAGATGTTAAGAGTCAGAAGCAGCCTTAAAAATCATCTGTTCAACCCCTCTCAATTTACAAGTGAGGAAATCAGAGCCCAGCAGTACTAATGAGCATGTATATTGTATACCCAAACACTTTGAGGCATGTATCATGAGACATACATGTTAAGCAGTAGAGTTCTTTTTTTCCAAACTCATCAACATGTAGAATTCATATTTTATTTGAATTCCGATGTTTTCCTTTGTATGACTGTGTCTTGAGATGTTGATGAGATGAGTACATGTGTTGGGAGTACTGCCTCTCCACACCGTCCTTTGTGTGAGGTGTAGTAGTGTTCCTGTTGGGGAATCTGTTTTGCATGAACCTTGGGTGTGGGTTGGGAGGGATGAGGGCAGATAAGACTCCTAAGATTGACCTTTCCCCTTCCTTGGTTTTTGTTTACCTATTCCAATTTGTATTTCCGCATTCACCACTTTTGTGTACAGTATTTATTATAAGGTAACTTCTGCAGAGAAATTGTCTTATAAAGTAAAAGAAATGGATGGTGGGGGACTGATAAGCAACCTTCAGAGGGCTTGCCACAGTGTGGGTGTGGGGAGAGCACTGAGCTCAGGTGTACCCTTTGCAAGTGGTGCAGCATTGGGTGCTCTTCCAGTAAGTGACAGAGGTTTCTTCTCAGGCTTTGTCCATGACCGTGTGTGTATCAAGAGGGTGGGCATTGGGAATCACAGGACTTTACCCAGTGGGGTGAGGGAGGTAAAAGAATGGAAGGATTTGGCAGCTACCTTGTACCATTTTTTCTGCCTTTAAAAAAAAAAAGGTTAAAATGGTGGCATTTACATTTAAGTGACTTTTCTTTTCAGCCTTGCCAGACATTTTACCAAGTTTGCCATGAAACAGTAGGAAAGTTTATCCAGTATGGCATTCTTACAGTGGCGGAGGTAAGAGGAAGAGCTTTTCTTTATTTGACTTTATGAAGTTACTTCTTCTTCATTTCCTTATCTTTTCTGCCACTTATTTAAACCAGTAATTGGCCAGGCTCAGTGATGTGTGCCTGTAATCCCACCAGTGTGGGAGGCCAAAGTGGGTGGATCACCTGAGGTCAGGAGTTCGAAACCAGCCTGGCCAACATGGCAAAGCCCTGCCTTTCCTAAAAATACAAAAATTAGCTGGTCATGGTGGTACATGCCTATAAATTCCAGCTACTTGGGAGGCTGGGGCATGAGAATTACTTGAACCCGAGAGGCAGAGGTTGCAGTGAGCTGAGATCATACCACTGGACTCCAGCCTGGGCAACAGAGTGAGATTCAGTCTCATAAATATATAAATAAACCAATAATTACATTTGGTATATAGTTATGTTCACATGTAAAGATGCAAAAAATAAGAATAGGGAGAGGAAGTGTCCTTTGGGATTATTTAATATTTTGGTTTCTATTTGTAAGTTGTGTTGTCTAAAACATATCCTGAATTGATTGTGTGACATCCAGAGGTTTGTATGCTAAGTCGAGACATTACACCTGTCAGTGTGCTTGTAGCTTGCACATCTGCAGTTTTAATTTTTGAGATTCTGTTTTAATTTTGGTAGATTTGGTGTAGAGGGGATGGCCTGGAAAAGTAGATACCAATTAAGAATATGTGGGGGCGCTTTTATTTGATCTTTCTGGTAGCTCTCCCCTCCTACCCACTCTTTTCTTTTGTCCCCTGAGTTTGAGTTTGGAAGGGAAGTGGATTGACATTATGAATGGCTAAACAGAGAAGAGCCAGGAAGGGCCAGAGAAGAGGACTGCCTTCTCCTGGCTCCACTGGGCAGTTTGTGTGCCAGTGCATATTTATTCACTATCCGTCATCTCCTTGGCCTAGCAAGATGACCAGGAAGATATCAGTCCTAGTCTTGCTGAGCAGCAGTGGGACAAGAAGCTTCCTGAACCTTTGTCTTGGAGAAGTGACGAAGAAGATGAAGACAGTGACTTTGGGGAGGAACAGCGAGATTGCTACCTGAAGGTACTTTGGTGAAGAATTCTGGTGGATATGACAGGGATGTGTTGGAGTTTATGTTGTAGTGAAATCAGCTGGAGCCCTGGTAATGTCTTCGTATCTAAAGAACCCCAACTAGCTCTTGTACCTTCTATGTGGTAAAGACAGACTGTTTGAGTTGAATTAGTACCTTATTCAGTTTAAGTAGAAAAGGAAAGGAGAGTCTGAAAAGTCAGGAGGATGAATGTCATAGGTAAGACTTTCATCACCCTTTTATGAAAAACACACAGGTGCATACCTGTTTCCCTACACCTGCACCCCCTCATGAGGCAGCAGTTGAGCTGCCATCGGCCTGGTTGCTCTTTTTGAGTCAGTCTTGCTATCCCTCCAAAAATTTCATACATTAAGCTCTTTGCTGTCAGTTAAAACAAATCCCATTATAGGAGGAGAAAATTTAGATTTAAAATATTGTCTCTTTTTAGAAAAATCAATTTTGTTTAATTTATAATTTTAGAACTTAGTAATAATGACCCATCTTTTCTGAAGACCCTATGTGGGTTATTCTTTTTTGACAGTTAGTATTGTCTTCTTTTTCACTTGGATGGTATTAGTTTCCAAATTGGGCAGTGATCTTGCTTTCACATTCTCGAGGGGCTTCACTGAACCAACGTGTTTTGCGTAGGTCCAGTGAGAGCCTCCCAGTCATAAATCACTTGTCATGGTGGCCATCATTCCCCACAGTACTGCACTGTGGGCAAAGAAAGGCCATTTAGGGGAGGCAGGGAATAGGTGCTGAAGAAAGACTGAGATGGTCTTGGTGGTCTCCCATTGGCCTTTTTGCAGACTTGAGTGACTGTTGAGCCCAGGTTTCAAACTGTGGAAGGCCTAGTCTTAAGACCAGCTATTTTCAGTGACAATAACATATCATAATTATGGCATTCAGTTATGAAAATTTCTTCCAGGTGGCTGTTCAATGAACACAAGCCTCAAATACTATTAGAAAGAAGTGAGTAATTGCAATAAAGAATGTTTGAAAGGCAGCAGTTTTTTCCAGCAGAGATTCTCTGCATGAGGGGCAGTGGGCCGCGTTCAGGTCGTGCTGGTGTGCGTGGTCTTCTCACGTTACCGGCTGTCCAGAGAAAGTCCTCTGTCCACTCGTTTTGTGTCTCTTGTCACTTCTTTATGACTTCATCTCCTGCTTTTGCTCTCTCAGGTGAGCCAATCCAAGGAGCACCAGCAATTTATCACCTTCCTACAGAGGCTCCTTGGGCCTTTGCTGGAGGCCTACAGCTCTGCTGCCATCTTGGTTCACAACTTCAGCGGTCCTGTTCCGGAGCCTGAATATCTGCAAAAGTTGCACAAATACCTAATAACCAGAACAGAAAGAAATGTTGCAGTATATGGTATGTTAAGTCACTATTTGGTCTTTTAAAATCTTTGCTTTATTGATTACAGAAATTCACTAATTGTAGAAAATTGGAAAAATGCAAACTTATCCTGACCTCTGACTCCATAGAGTATTACCGTTCTCTTCTTTGGTATGTTACGTGAGTTGAATGATACAGTCATACACTCTTACATCTGGCTTTTTTCATGTAACATTATATTTGAGATTCATATAGTTGTTCCATGGTTCCTGTTGTGTAGTGTTCCATTGTATAAATGTTTACCACATTTTATCATTCCACCGTTGATGGATATTTGGGTCATTTTCAGTTCACAGCTGCTTTGAACAGTGTTGCTGTCAGCTTGTTTGAATATGTCTTTTGGCGAACATCTGTGCCCCTATATACAGCATATCTGTGGGAAGAGAATTGCCTGGTTGTAGGCTCTGGGCATATTCAGCTTTAGTAGATACCGCCAAACAGTTTCCAAGTGGTTATACCAACTTGTACTCCCACCAACAGTGTGTGTTTCACTTGCTGCACATCTTGGCCAGCACTCTATCTTGTTTGTTTTAGGAGGTATGATTGGGGTGGGAGGAGTATTTTATACAGTTGTAGTTTGAAGCTGAACCTCCTTTGAATCAATCTTTAGATTTGAATCAATCTTTAGAGCCAGAAGGAATCTAATCACCTCATTTTATAGATGAGGAAAATACCCAAGGTCACACAGCTAGTTAATGGCTAATCTTGGGATCAGAATTCTTGTTTCCTAACCTCTAGGCCTATGCTTTCTCTGGTTCCACTGATGTAACAATTATCTGCATACCACCATATAGCTTAAAGAATACTTATACACTGCCTCATTTGATTCTTACAAAAGTCCTGCAAGATGGATGTTTTAGGTATTTCTACTTACTCTGTTCCTCCCTATTTCTCTCTCTACACCCCCATTTCTCTCCCTCTCCCTTTGTTTTTTACCTCAATAGAGGACAAAGTAGGTTTAAAGAAGCAGCAAGTCATCTGAGACCTCACAGATTGCCAGTGGTAGAAGTGGGGCCCCACCCCTGTCTGCTGACTTGCCCTCATTCTCTTTCTTACTGTTTGTATTGGGATTGTCATGATTTGCTGGGCCTAACCATTTGATGGGGTTTTATTCTCTCTCTCCAGCTGAGAGTGCCACATACTGTCTGGTGAAGAATGCTGTGAAAATATTTAAGGATATTGGGGTAGGTGTCCACCATTTATGGTATAAAAGCTGTCTTCTGTTCTCTTTAGGTCTAGTCTGTCTGAGCTACCTTTTGTTGTAGGGTGGACCCTGAGAAAAGCAGTTTCTGCTGGTTTAATGATAAAGGCACTTTTGAGAATGGGGCATGTAGGATGGGTAGGGCTGTGTTGAAGGTGAAGCCTATCAGTGCAGATTTATTTGAATGTTCTGGAATTTTACTAATTTCACATCTGTTCCCAAACTGCTATATATAACTGGTATCAATATGTTTCAAGATGCTAGAGGCTGAGTATCTGTTATCTGAAATGTTGGGACCAGAAGTGTTTTGGATTTCAGATTTTTAAAAATTTTTCTTTTGGAATACATGCCTTATACGTACAGGTTTAGCATCTCTAATCCAAAACCCCAAATGCTCTAATGAACATGTCTTTTGAGCCCCATATTGGTGTTCAAAATGTTTCAGATGTTGGCGTACTTCAGATTTTTGATTTTTGGATTAGGAATGCTCAACCTGTACCACAATCCTGGCTCTTAATTATTCAATATGATTTTTAGTTACTTTCTTGTATTTTTACAAGTATTCCTAGAAGTATCCTCAGGTGTCCTTTACCTTCATGATTCATGGGGAATGTGAGTCCACAGAGATGCTAGTGGCCTTTTTGAGGGACTGTTTATAACTTTATCCTAAGGCATTTTATAGTATAGTTATGTTGGTTGAAATTTTAGAATATAGTTAGGTTGGTTGACCTCTATTCAAATAAAAAAAAAAACCTTGCTTGCATTGATGACTCCCACCTCATACTCACACACACGCATGCATACATACTTAAAGCCACGATATGGTTTTGTGTGCCTTTACTGCCTTCTGAGGTCTAGGATACCACAGGTCAGGTTAGTAATAGAAATGGGTGTGGTTTTTTTTTTTTTACCTTTAATTTAATCTAAACTTTTTCTTTAGGTTTTCAAGGAGACCAAACAAAAGAGAGTGTCTGTTTTAGAACTGAGCAGCACTTTTCTACCTCAGTGCAACCGGCAAAAACTTCTAGAATATATTTTGAGTTTTGTGGTGCTGTAGGTAACATGCGGCACCGCTGGCAAGTGAAGGTCATAAGATGAGTCCCTGGTAGGTACCAGCTTCTGGCTTGAGAGTTGAAGGTGCCGTCACAAGGTCAGGCCTGCCCTGTCCCGAAGTGATCTCCTGGAAGACAAGTGCCTTCTCCCTCCATGGTTCTGTGATCTTCCCAGCTCTGCGTCGACACAGAAGCCTAGAGATAACCCCTGGGGGGACCTCAGCCTCTATTCACAACTCATAATCAGTAGATTACAAGATGAAATCTCAATAAATTATTTTGGAGTTTATTGAAGACTTACATTTTAAGTCCAGCTTTTAAGGACTAATTACTGTGATGGACACAGACATGTAGCTGTGTTCTAGAACTGAATCTTGTATGGTATACTTAATGCTGTCGGGTAATTTGTTGGTACATTTTCTGGCTAATGGTGAATGCTCTCTTTAAAAATAATTTAGTCATCCATTCACACTTTCTCAGTTTTATCTTTGTCAATAGTAGCTACATTTTTAACGGGAGCACCTTTTATCCTAAAGTGCTTTATAAATGAATGGACTGATACATATCACACCCAGGTATCACTGTGCTGTCCTTTGCAGTCAGATTTAGAAAATGTTTTTAAGAGCTGTGTGAAAACAGACAATATTAGTTTAGGTCAGGAACTGCGATATTGTAATCAAATAGCTGACATGAGGAAGTTAATTTAGCTGGCAGAATTCTAGGTAAACTTGGCCAGAAAACTGGTGTTGAAAGCTTTTGCTCCTATAAAAAAGTGCCATTGAGTTTTAAATGACCAGCAAGTATTTAGAACCCTTCTGTTTTATGTCTGTATCCCATCCCAGCCTTCAGGTAACACCTGCCTCTCACAGGTACAGCTGTTTCTTGAAAGTCCACCAACCAAATAGCAACTTTCCTGACTTGATTAGCTTGAGCTGACAGTCTCTGTTAGAATACAGCGCTCTGGCTACAGACCACTGATGGGGGCTTCTGTACTGCACACAGATTGTGCACTGCACCCCAGTCCAGGTGACTGGTACCCACCCGAGTTGTGCAGGGCACAGCCTGTCCAGTTTATGAATGTGGTGCCCCGACTGACTGGTAATGGTTAGAGGCATTTTTGGATTGTTAGCTTTTAGGAAAAACCATGGCTTTTAGCAAATTTTTATGTGTTATATGCCTAAACCCTGTGCCACATAGTGGTAAATAATTATGAAAAATGATCTGTTCATAATAGGTAGGTGCCTTTTGTGAGCAGGGAGCATAATTATTAGTTTATTATGGTAATTATGGTGATTTCTTAAAGATCATGTAATGTTAAAACATTTTCTAACAGTTTACTGTTGCTTATCGCTAAGATATTATGGAATTAAGAATTTTTCTAGATGAGTATTACACAGATTCTTTGAATTTAGTCTAAAAAGAATTAAGTTTGAGAATTAAGTTTGTTCCACTGTAAGCTTGGATTTTAAACACTAATAGTATCTCATAAATAACGTGTGTTTTGGGAGAGGGACGGATGCCGATTGATATTTCACATTGTATGAAATATGTTTGAAACTCATAGCAATGATGCTATGCTGTTGTGACTCTCTCAAGTTCTGCATTTAGAATGTATTTTTTCTTTATAGGAATTCATGTACCATTAAGTCATTGTCAGTTGTAGTAGCTTTGATGTTAAATAAGATATCACATTTTAGCATTCCATTTTACTGAGTAGGGTAGAAGAACACGTCTTTTTCTTGGCTACTTTGGAGGATCCCCAGGGAGTCTCGTGTATCCCCTTGGATGTTCCCCTTATAAGGGGAAATCAAACATTTCACTGATCTCTTTTTTCCATCCTTTAAATTGTAGATTAAGGATTACTCAAGCTCACCATTAGTCAAGGTTGGGACTCAGTTCCCAGTGGGCACTCTGCCCTGCCTGTCACTGCTGCAAAGAGCTGCTGCTTTGCCAGCCTGAGCAGAGAAAATATGGCTTCTCTTGCGTTATTTTCCCTTTTGGTTGGTTTTGTTTTCTAGAAGTTCGATCAGATGCTTTGGGAAATGCAATGTATGATTTGCTAGCTCTCACCACTTAACTCACTGTGAGGATAAATATGCATGCTTTTTGTAATTAACTGGTGCTTTGAAAATCTTTTTTAAGGGAGAAAAATCTCAACCAAAGTTAGGCTCATCCAGACAAGCTGACCTTTGAGTTAATTTCAGCACAACTCATTCTTCAGTGCCTCATGACTGAAAAAAAAAAAAAATAAATAAATAAAGCTTCCAGATGCACCGTTTTGCTAAAAGATACATTCTCATTGTTTTCCAACAGCAATGGCTTCCACATAAGGTTAAACAAACTAGGTGCTTGTAAATAATTTAGTACAGTTTACTTTATTGCATTTCTATAACATGAAATGCATGCCCTTCAGGGGAAGACTGTGAGTCAAGTTAAAAACACACACACACACACACAATATTAAGCAATATGAAACTACTCTTTTTAAAAATAAGAATGTCCTAAGTGATTCAGAAGAGAGGAAGGAATTTTTGCACTCTTAGAATTGCATGAAAAACAAAGGCAAAAGCCAGTGTGAATTATGTAGAACTGCTGACTGAGAAGGCATCGAGCCTTCCTTCTGAGATCTGTTAATTCTCACAAAGTCATGAGGGTAAGTGGAGAAAATATTTCTGGGATTACAATGAATGTAAGCTCAGATTGTGGAATTTCCAGTAACCTGGATGGGGAAAAGCATCTCCCATAGTGCTCCATGTAATGTGAGTGCTCTGTGAGATGTTCATCAGTGTTTTATAGAAATGGTGTTGCTGGGAGACTTAAGTTTGCACATGGAAACTTACAGTGCACTTTAGCGCAGTAAGGGCTTGGCATCTGGCAGTGAAAACTGTTCAACCCAGCATTGCCCAAACTGTTTTGACACCAGGACATTTTTCTCCTTTGGGATACCTGTGAACCCCTCATTAATGTCCTGTGGAGAACATTTTGGGAAACACTATGTTAGGTAGGTCTTTAAGGAGACAGACGGTAATGAACGGATGGCACTGGGGCAGAATTTGCATGCATTTTGTAACATCCAGTGTTGCATTGAATAGGTATGTATTTCCTCCCCTAGAGAAAACAAGCACAGAAAATTATAATGTAGGTGATCGGAGCTCTTTCCTTTGATAGAACAGCCCCAATGACCCTGGCCTTTTCACTGAAAGTATCAGAATACATGGATGAATTGGGGTAAATAAGGTTTTAATTCAGATCTAGAAGAACGTATCGTACAATGGAATGCAGATTTGTATGGACAGGTGGTTGTAGTGTTTAGACATGACAGGACCATTGAGGTTTGTAAGACTTACTATGGCTGTAAACCCGTTTTTTAAAACTTCTTAGAAACCTGAGACTTGCCATCTGGCATTTTAGTTTAATACAAACTAATGATTGCATTTGAAAGAGATTCTTGACCTTATTTTTAAACATCCAAAGCTCTGAAATGTTTTGATGGAAGGTATTAAACTATTTGCCTGTTGTACAAAGAAATGCTAAGATTGTTGTAAAAAGAATTACTGTGAGGTACTGTGAAATACTGCGTGATTTTGTGAGCGAAACATACTTGGAAATGCTGATTGATTTTTATGCTTGTTAATGTTTTTGCAAGAAACACAGAAAATGTAGATTTGTTTTAATAAACCAAAAAATTAACATATTCTTGATGTGTTGGATTTGTATTTAAAACAGTTTCTTACATAATTCATACAATTATTCTTTTCTGACTTTACGTGGAAACTTACTAAAATACTTAATGATGGCTTCCATAAATGTATGACCCTACGGTACATGCTTTTATTATTGACCCACAGCTTTCCAAATGTAACCAAGCATTTGGAGATACAGGTCTACTTAGCTATTGCTCTCCTTTTATTTAGTAAATATCCGTATTCTAGAGAGATTCTTTGGGTTTTTATAAAGATTTCTTTAAGCTTGGCCCTTGTTATATATTTACATATTTAAGTTTATAAATAGTGTTTTCTCCACCAGTTTATCACAGTTGATCAAACTATTAGTTTACTTTTTTGACTAGAAAATTCTTTCTTTTATCAGAGCACAGATAGATTTTGTGGATTCTTTGAACGTTCTCACTTACAGCCTGATCTCCAGAGTGTTCTGGGAAAGGCAGTAAAGGTGTACCTGCTGATGATGTCCATGTCATTTGGATGATTGATGCCCAAGACTATCCCATCCGTTCTCCAGACAACCCCTCTCCCTGAACTTTGAACCCTTCTGATTTCTTCTGTGATGTTGCTGTGACTGTGCCCTTATCCCGGCACATTCATTCTTTGCATTAGCAACTATCTTGCTGCTGCGAGAGGTACCTTCCTTTTATTGTAGCTAAATTCTAACTGATAGTCACTAGGTAAGTGGATGTTAATTTTGAAGTCTCATCTCTTGATGTTTAGTCTACTCTCTAATTTTAGTCCTATTATTGTCCTTTTTAAGCTCTTGCTGTCTTCTACACACTTAGCTAGTAAAATTCCAACATGCTTCCTTGAAAGTACAGGGGCACTTGTGGTGTTGACACCCCCACCTGGCTTCCCTTGCCCCTTCAGTTTCCATGGCCCTGTGGTCTCCCATCTCCCTTCATGACTCCGTTCTTCTCCAACTCTTCCTTCCCTCCCATCCTTTACCAGATAGTCCTGGTGGTGTTGATGGATCCTCTGATGTAAAAAAAAAAAAAAAAAATCAATATAATCTGAATTTGTGTATTATGTGAAAGCATCTAAGTTTTACATGATAGTCCAACAACATATACGGATCAAGTAAGGCCATTTCCATCTTGGCAACTGCGAGTTCATATCATTTGGCCTAGGAAAAAGAAGCATGAAAGGACCAGTTTCAAGGTGCCCCTTCCAGGAGGAGCTACTAGCCAATCCCCAGGGGAGAGAAAGCTAACCTTGGTCACCCGACTTAGGCAGGGCTAGAGCTTGAGGCAAATATCTGATGAAGACTGGTGGTGGTTAACTATGTATTGAGCTCAACTGGGTCAGCCTTCGACTTCTGACTCACTCCTGTGCCCATGTCAAAGATAGTGTGTATTAAAACAAGCTAGCTTTGGGGGCTGACAGGTGATTAGAATAAATGAGTGGAAAAACTCAATTTCCAGCCTTCTGGGAAAACATCTTGCCTCTTTTGTCTTGCAGGTTGGTGGAAGATCAGTAAGGAAAGAACATACATGGACATGCCCTCAACTACCTGCTCAAAGTTCCCAACCTACATAGCCAAGATCCATCACATGGTACTTCCTAGAAGTGAGGTGACTCCGTAAGGCAAGAGCAGAGGGAGTGGGCCTGAGTGTGCATTTCACCTTGTCTGTTCCTTCCTTATTGGCGGGCGAATCCTACGCCCATACCCTCCTTTTTTTTTGTAATTATCAACAATCCCCTCTGACTCTTAGAAGAGTCTAGGTGTGCAGGATAGACTGTCTGGTTGCTGTATTCATGGGCTATGCAGCTGCTAGTGACAAAGAATTTTGCTGGAATTGAGAAAGAAGCTATCTTAAGAATATATATTCAGGCTTTTATCACCTGAGAATTTTAACAGTCTTTGAGTTTATGTGTAAGGAAATGTTTATGCACTATAAAACATTTAGCTTCCGCTTCTTGAACCAATCTTAGCACTTGTTAGAGAGAGCTCAAAAATAGTCCAATTGTCCCCAAGTAACCTCTCTCAGAGAATCTCACAAAGCCCCATCTCTTACTTTTGGAGGGTTTGAGGCCAAATCTACCTGCTTTATTATTTCTCCATTGTTGAAATGGTGGGCAAACATCCTGCTTCTATTTCATGATTCTAGGTGTGCGTGGTGGGGAAGAGAGCACTGATTCCCTACTCCTAGTGAGGAAAAAGTAGTACAGCATGGGGCCCACTGAGGATTTCAAGGAGCCATGGAATATGGTGGCTCTGTCTACACCAGTGGTTGTCAAGTGTTACCAGACAAGTAGGATCAGCATCACCTGGGCAATTGGTTGGAAATGCAACTACTTTGAGCCCCAACCCAGAGACCAGCAATATGTCTTTTGACAAATCCTCAGGTGATTCTGATACACATGAAGCTTGAGCAGCCTTGCTCTAGACACACATTACCTTGGCAAAATTCGGCATTTTGCCCTTCTACACAATATACTCCAGAAGCAAAAACAAGGGAGAGCTCATGGGTGATAAAACGCCCTTCCAGAATGGCTTTTCCTCCAGGACGTATTGAAGCAATCAAGTAAATGGGACAAAGCTGGGCTTTCAAGTAACAGTACTTAGATCCTCTATGCACCTGGAGATGTTTCTACAAGGAGAAATGGCAGCCTCCAGCCTTATCATTGCCTGGCCTCTCTGTAGATGCTGGCATAGCTCCTGTGCAGTTGGGTGACTTACACCACAAAGTTAGGCATTGAGGTGCTTCTCAGCCCTCAATCTGTAAAAAGGAGGCTTGCCCAAGTTTAAGTCTGTGTGTGAGTTTTATACAGTCCTTTCGGTAAACCTAGGGCTGGGAGCTGGCTTTCTTGTGCACAGGCAGACTTTGAGCTGGTCACATCGCTTCTGTGGGCATGGTTGTTCTCCAGATGGCATAGGCGCAAATGCCCAATGGATTTTTGAAGATGAAATTAGGTTTGATGAATGTAGGCTTGCAAGTGTGAAATGACTGTGTGTATTTTGTATGCTTTCATATGATGGCCAGTTAGGTGGCCCCAACCCAGAGACCAGCAATATGTCTTTTGACAAATCCTCAGGTGATTCTGATACACATGAAGTTTGAGCACCCTTGCTCTAGAAACACATTACCTTGGCAAAATTCGGCCAAAATTCGGCAAAAAAGGTTCCTGGCTGAGTCCTTTGCTGTCTCTAACAGTTGGTTAGTGCCAGGAGGGGCAGTCTCTCCCAAGCCAGACAGTCTTTTTAAGATGTCAGAGAATCAAAGGACAGAATGTTTAGCTCTGAGGAAGCTTATGGGTCCTTCAGAAGGAAATTAGGGGTCACCTAGTATTCTGCCTTCAAGTTTTTTTTTTTTTTTGAGATGGAGTTTCGCTCTTGTTACCCAGGCTGGAGTGCAATGGTGCAATCTCGGCTCACTGCAACCTCTGCCTCCTGGGTTCAGGCAATTCTCCTACCTCAGCCTCCTGAGTAGCTGGGATTACAGGCACCCACCACCATGCCCAGCTGATTTTTGTATTTTTAGTAGAGACGGGGTTTCACCATGTTGACCAGGATGGTCTCGATCTCTTGACCTTGTGATCCACCCACCTCGGCCTCCCAAAGTGCTGGGATTACAGGCGTGAGCCACTGCGCCTTCAAGTTTTACAGAAGAGAATATTACAAGTGCTCGCACAGTAAGTTGATAGAATCTAGACCAGAAGCAACATTGTTTGCCTCAGTCCAGTCAACACCAGCCAAATGGAACATGGACAAGTCAGTAAAATGACTAAGTTCTCCTGCAGCAAAGTTGAATCATCCATGTGTTTGATGTGAAGCTTGGCGAATGACATAATGATACGGACTGGAAGGAAGTGAATTGGCTCCAGCAAAACAGTGTGGCAGACATACCTGGGACTGACTTGTGTTTCTATCATTAGTCACTGTGGTACCAAAACCCAGGACTCACTCTTGGTCTCTCTTCTTCTTGGCTTAAATTTCCACAACACACTGTGCTAAGCACTTTGTATGTATCATCTCTAATCCTCTGGGGTGGGTACTATTAGTCCCATCCTACCAGTGATGAAACTGAGGCTCAGGGGTGAAGTAGTTTGCTGAAGACTGGTAAGACAGAGTTCACATTTACTCTGGATCATTGTAACATGCTTCTTTCTGGGGTTTGCAAACCCCAAGGAACCTTCAACTTGGAGCAATTGATAGAAGCACAGGGAAAACGGTGCTTAGGAAAACATCCTTAGGATGGGGGAGGAGAAAGTATGCAAAGGGCTTTGCAGAAGCTCTCTTAGACTGTCTTGCGCAGAGTTGAGCGGGAGGAGAGTCTTTGAGGTTGAAAATAACCAGAATGTGTTACTGCTTATTGCAAATCTGTTATGGCACAGAGCCATACTCAGCAATTTAGCTTAGGGTGGTATTTTTAGAATTGTATGCTCCAGACACCATGCTGATCATGGTCCTAAACAACCCTAATAGTAACCTGAATGTGAGCCATTTCTCAAGGTCATGGTGTTAGGAAGCTGTGTAGCTGCTTTTCCAACTCGAGCTTCAACATTGTGCTTTACAAATGCTTAGTGGAGTCACTTAGCACCCCTGGTGCGTCCATGTCTGGAAGAGAGAACAACGAATTTGAAACAATCTGGAGAGGGCATTTGGGAAGTGTTTTGCGCACAAAGCGAGCTTTAGTCAGGTTCACTTTGAAGTCTCCCACTGTGTTAAGCGGGATGGAAAACTCACTTGTGTCTTGTAGCTGAGGGAACAGGCAGCAGTTCCACCCTGCTCTCCCTCCCTGTGCAGGCTCTGGTCCCTTCCTCTCCATCTGCAGTCAGAGACACCTCTCTTCTCCAAGACACCGAATGGATGACTTCCAAACCTGCAATCCTGGGACGTTAATGATATCAACAAGGCCAAAGCTACATCATACTTTAAGCCTCTAAACTACAAGCTATTTTTTCATTTGTTTGTTTTTTTGTCGAAAGTACCTATCTCCAAATCAGGAATTTTCATAGAATCTGT